CCTGCAGCCAGGGCATTGCTTCTCCTGTGAATGCTGCGGACGCCTAGCTCAGTGATCACAGAAAGGAGGAAAGAAATACCCCAGGGAACACAAAGATCCTTGCTCCCCCTCTTCCCTTGGGTCAAGTCTACGGTTGGATATACCGCAGGGCCTTTTAGAGTGCCAATCCCCCAGTGGGAAACTATTATCCGGAGTTTGGAGGCCAGCGCCCTCTCGCTGCACAAATCGAGGTACCCCAGGCCAAGGGGGAAAGGAGTTGGGTGTGGGATCCGCAGAAAGGGAACGCCCGCCTTATGCCTCGACCTCACAGCGCCACCTGGTGCCTCCGGGTACAGCCCCAGGGCTGCGCGCGCGGATAGAGGGCCCCCTCCCTGCTGGTGGACTCCGTTTCCCAAGGCGCCTTGGCCTCCGGGGGGCCCCCCCTCCCTTCCCTCGGAGCCCTCCCGCGCCACCCCGTCCTACACTGTCCAGAGGGTGCTTCCGGGCCAGTCACCTCCGCTTACAGCCCTCTGCCTTTACGCAGGTTTCACTCCCAGGAGGTGCGTCCATCCTCTTCCCCACCATGGGGCTGCTCTGGAAGACCCCTGTCCCAGAGTTTGACAGCTAGTGTCAGAGAGGCTAGCTCAGAAGATGGCCTTGTGCTGGCGTGCCAAACACCCACCTCCAGCAGCCAGCAGGGGGCAGCCTATCTCCAGATTTGGGCCCTAAGGGCTCCCATCCTGGCCATTCCCATAGGTCCCTTCCAGAGGCGACCGTGATCCCAGTCTATAGAGCCTTCCATCCATCCATCCATCCTCCCCCATACACAAACCCTTCCTGGAGAGCTTCCCGTTGGCAACGTCCTGCTTTGGACCTAGAGAATTTATCAAGATGAAGGTGACCTGGCCCCCACCCCGGGAACTCATGGCCTGCAGCAGCATTCTCCTCCAGCTCTTTTACCTGTCACCTTGCACTTACCTAGTGTTCTGCACCATTAATTGGTCTTTACATGTTTAGGTCTCACTCCCAGAATCACGGAGAGGGGTCTGTCAAGGCCACTGTTGAATGTGGTCATCTGGACATCAGGCATACAAGGCCTGTTGTTGCTCAAGTCTCTGCTTCTTGGTGTTTTGTTGGGCATCCCTAGGATGAAGGAGGACACTGCAACCCCTCAGATGAACTCTGTCTTTACAGATAAGGTCAACCTTCCGTGGGGCAGGCTGTGGGGGTCTGCCACAGACGAAATGTTTGTGTCCCCCTCAAAATTCCTATGTTGAAATCCTAACCCCCAAAGTGAAGTATTAGGAGGTGGAGCCTGTGGGAGGCGGTTAGGTCATGAGGGCGGAGCCTTCGAGAAGGGGATTAGCGCTCTTGTTGGAGAAGCCTGAGAGCTCCCTCCTCCTTTCCACCTGTGAAGACCGGGCAGAAAGACCACTAGGAGCCAGGAAGCGGCTCTCCCCGACATTGACCCTGCCAGCACCTCGATCTTGGACTTCCCAGCCTCCAGAACTACAAGAAATAAGTTTCTGTTGTTTATAAGCCACCCGATTCATATTTTGTTGTAGCAGCCCGAACGGACAAAACCAGAAATTGGTACCCAGGAGTGGAGGGCTTCCGTAACACATACTGAAATAGTGGAAATGGTTTCAAAGCTGGATGATGGATAGAGGGTGGAAAATTTCTGAGATGTCCCCCAGGAAAGCACCGACACTGCTGCGGACATTCTCGTGAGAGCTCAAAAAGAAAAAAGGAGAGCTGGAGAAAGCCCCGGTCGTCTCAGAGAATAATGACCAATGATTTTTTTTTTTTTAAGGTTTATTTATTTATTTATTCGAGACACACAGAGAGAGAGAGAGCGAATATGAGCAGGGGGAGAAGCAGGCCTCCCGCTGAGCAGGGAGCCCGATGCGGGGCTCGATCCCAGGACCCCGGGATCATGACCTGAGCCGAAGGCAGATACTTAATGACTGAGCCACCCAGGCGCCCCTAATGACTAATAATTTTGAACACAATGTTGGTAGAAATATGGATGGTAAAGGCCATCATGATAACAAATGAGAAACATGTTAGTAGAACCTGGACAAAAGGTGATCCTCATTATAAAGGGGCAACAGACGTGGCTCCACTGTGTTCAGATTCTAATGTTTTGTGGAAGGTAGAACTCGTGAACAATGAAGTTGGGTGTCTACCTGAGGCGATCTCTAAGCAAAGTGGTGAAGGTGCGCTTGGCTCCTTCTGAGTGCTTACAGTAAAATGCAAGAAGAGAGAAATGACCTAAAGCTTGGACCTGTTAAGCAAAAAGGGAGCATAGCTTAAAGGTTTGGAAAATTCTCAGCCTAGGGCGCCTGGGTGGCTCAGTTGGTTAAGCGACTGCCTTCGGCTCAGGTCATGATCCTGGAGTCCCGGGATCGAGTCCCACATCGGGCTCCCTGCTCAGTGGAGAGCCTGCTTCTGCCTCTCTCTCTCTGCCTGCCTCTCTGCCTACTTGTGCTTTCTCTCTGTGTGTCAAATAAATAAATAAAATCTTAAAAAAAAAAAAAAGAAAATTCTCAGCCTATCCATATTGCAAGAAATGAAAACATTAAGGGTGTGACCAAGTGACTTTGTGATAAGATTAGTACGGGACAGCCATATCAACGGAAGCCAAGTGCTATTCAAGACAATGGAAGAATGACCCAGAAGGTGATTCAGGGATCATTAAGGCTGCCATTTCCCTCACAGACCCCCGAGTACAGGGGTTTGGGGGCCATGGCTTCTTCCACCTAGGTTTTAAACAATGGGGCCACCAGGAGCCGTCACGGGGGTGGGCCCTGGCAGAGAGTTGGGGCATAGGCAGCTCCCTGCTGGGCCATGGGAGTGATGTTGCCTCCCCAGTGGGTCCAGAAGACAGGGGATTCTTCTCAAGCTTTAAGGTCTAATGGAATTTGCTTCATTAGGTTTTTGTTTGTTTGTTTGTTTGTTTGTTTGTTTGTTTGTTTTTAAAGATTTTATTTATTTATTTGAGAGAGAGAATGAGAGAGAGCACATGAGAGGGGGGAGGGTCAGAGGGAGAAGCAGACTCCCTGCCGAGCAGGGAGCCCGATGCGGGACTCGATCCAGGGACTCCAGGATCATGACCTGAGCCGAAGGCAGTCGCTTAACCAACTGAGCCACCCAGGCGCCCGCTTCATTAGGTTTTGCACTTACTTGGGACCCATCATTCCTTTCTTCTCTCCTATTTTTCCCTTTTAGAATGGCAATGTCATCTGAGGCACCTGGCTGGCTCAGTCCGTAGAACATGCAACTCTTGATCTTGGGGTTGTAAATTCAAGCCCCACGCTGGGTGTAGAGATTACTTAAAAAAAAAAAAAAAAAAAGGAACTGTCTATCCTATGTGTGTCCCACTAATGGAGGATAGTTGGGAAGAAAGACAGGCAGGGACGAGGGGATCCCGCCCTAAGAGGAAACCACCCTTTTTTTTTTTTAAGATTTTATTTATTTATTTGAGAGAAAGAGAGAGAGAGCACATGAGAGGGGGGAGGGTCAGAGGGAGAAGCAGACTCCCTGCCGAGCAGGGAGCCCGATGCGGGACTCGATCCAGGGACTCCAGGATCACGACCTGAGCCGAAGGCAGTCGCTTAACCAACTGAGCCACCCAGGCGCCCAAGAGGAAACCACCCTTAAACGGATTTTACACCACCCTGGAAGGAGCCCTCCACCCTTTCCCACGTGATAGGTAGGTGATAAAAACCTGATTGGGTGACAGGCCCAGAAGGGGTAATCAGATTAACACAGCCCACCAATGAGCCATAAAACCCCCTAGACCTAAAGGCCCAATCTGCAACTTTCTCAGGCCCCCTCCCTCTTTGGGAGCTTTGTACTATCGCCCAATAAACTCTGCTTTGCTGCCCGCCACTCTTCATCTGGTCTTCCTCTTCATTCTTTGAAGCAGTGTGACCAAGAACCGCGGGCAATAAAGGGGAAAAAAATCCTCTAACACCACCATTGTATTTCAGAAACACAGAACATGTTTTTTCCCAGGTCCATAGCTGGGGAGGAAATTTTCCTGCAATGAATCGTACTTGGAGTCTCCCCCGTATCTTCTGTAGATGACGATGAGTGAGGCTTTGGGGTGACTTAAAGTTGATGCTGGAATGAGGTGAGACTTTTGGGGTGATTGGGATGGAATGGATGTATTTTGCTTGTGAAAAGGACATGAATTTGGGGGCTCAGGGGCAGAATGCTATGGACTGAATTTGTGTCCCCCCCCAAATTTATCTGTTGAAACTTAATCCCCAATGTGATGGCATTGGGAGGTGGGGCTTCTAGGAGGTGATGAGGCCGTAAGGACAAAGACCTCAAGAATGGAATTGGTGCCTTTATAAAAGAGGCTCCAGGGAGCTTCTTTGTCTCTTGGGCCGTGTGAAGACACAGCAGAAAGATGGCTGGCTATGAACCAGGAAGCAGGCCCTTACCAGACACCAAATCTGCCGGCGCCTTGATCTTGGACTTCCCAGCCTCCAGAAATATGAGAAATACATTTCTGTTGTTTATAAGCCACCCAGTCTATGGCATTTTGTTACAGCAGCCAGAATAGACTAAGACAGGGCCCGGACCTCGCCGCATGCTGAGCTAGGCCCCTCCATGCCATCCCTCCTGGGCAGAAGTAAACTTTCTGGATGTGACATGAGAGTTCCTCTGGCTGAGTTCCCCTCCCACTCTGGGCTTTTCCAAGCTGGAAGAAGTTCTGAGCACAGCTTTGGGGCCTTGCTGAGCCCCTCAAATGCCAAAGCCCACACAGCTTTCACACCCAGATGTGGGAGTGGGGGCTGCCAGACAGGGCAAAGCAGCGGGACTGGGCTGGTTGGGTCATTCTAGGCAGTGCAGTTCAGTTAGAACCGATACTAGAAAGTAAGCAGCCCTTAGAAAAACAGGAACAAACCATATTTATTTCCACCTAACCTCCTGCTAATTTGATGCCTCCAATGAAGTTCCCTCCCAGCCCTGTGGTTCGCTGTACTCTTACAGACACGACGCCAGAGTTCTGTTCTAAGATTTAGGCTTTATTGACCAGATGAGAAGTCAGCTTGAACATAGCTCGGGCCTGCAGCCCCTCCACATGACTCCTCCATACAGTGTTGTCCTTTCAGTCACTGGGAGCAGCGAGACCCAGCCCCTCCCCTTCCTCCTGCTGCTCCTGACCTGGGGCCTGCAAGGGATGGGGGGTGAAGAGGCCAGAGAAGGGTTCCTGGAGAAGGGTGGGGTGGCAGGGGCAAGGCCCCGAGTGGGCAGGCAGGTGCTGAGGACTGGGCACATAGGGAAGGGGTGTCCAGATGAAGCCTGAGGCTGTGTGTGCCTCCCTCCACATCTGAGGGCCGAGCAGGAGTGATGGGAATAGGGCACCGGCCTGGTCTGTGCTGGGACGGGGAGGAGCTACCAACACAGCCTCGGGACTGGGGTTAGGGGCGGAGCTATTTACCCTCAGATTTGGGCCACTGATAAATGAAAGTGTGTGTTGGGAGGTGTTTCATCCGGGCCTCTGCCAAACAAGGAACTAGATGCCTGGGGAGGTCAGACCACATCCTGACTTTGGGTCCTCAGACCTGAGTTCTTTTCCTCACCCCGAGGAATGGTGACACGAGGGGGAGGACACCGGGTCTCCAGAGCCTCAGAGGCAAGAGGCTCAGAGAAGCAAGTAGCTCCAATAGCCCATGACCCTGTCTGTATGCCCTTCTGCATCCACAGTGAATTCCCGAGCTGGAACTCCCCAGGCTATTCGGAGGGACACCAAGAAGCCCACCCTCTTACCCGCAGAGGAGAATCCAATGAACCACCAGCTTCCTCTGCCCGATCTTGTTCCTGCTTCCCTCTCCCCTGGGCCTACTGTTCCTCTGGAATCCAAGATGTGGGCTCAGGGATCTTGGCAGGTTGATGACGGACACTCAGCCTAACAGGCTAAGAACAGAGGACTATGGGGCGGGTTGTGGGGAGAAGGGCCCAGTCCCACCTGCACTAAAACACTGAGGTCTCCTGCTGGTGATGGTGTCAGGTCCCAGGCAGAGGGAGCCCCGTAGAGGAGTAGGATCTCAGGCAGACTCCAAACCAGAGGGAGCCAGACGCCCAAGTTCAAGTCATTAGTGATGTGTGGCAGGGCTGAGAGAGGGAGGAGGGATCCTGGAGGTCGCCAAGGCTGCTGGGAAGGGAATGGCGATGAAAAGCACAGGAGTGGGCAGCGTGCGGTGGACGGCGGCAGCCTCACTCAGAGTGGACCAAAGCCCCAGCTCCTTGCCCAAAGCCAAAGCCCTTGGGTCCGAAGTTTTTCGCGTAGCATCCTGCCGAGAGAGAAGGGGTAAGGCCTGGCTCCTCCTCCCCCAGGCCCCACCTCCCAGCCCTCCCACCAAAGATCCTCCACCCTGGGCACCTGGCCAGGCCTCCAGAGCAGCAAAATCCACCCAGTGCCCCTCACCTCTGTAGCACCCCGAGCCCCGGTAAGTGCGGAAGTTCTTGGCTCCACATTACAGCCATTTCCCCCACTGCTGAAATTATAGGAGAAGCACTATCTGCTGTCAGGGTATCCGACTAGGAGTTAGGAACCCAGGTCCTGGCCCCATCCTGCCCGTATCTGTCATATGATTCTGGCCAAGTCACTTTTCCCTCCGGGCTCGTCTCCTCATCTGTAAAGTGAAGGGCCACACTGGAAGCTCTGGAAGTGACCCCGAGGCCAGGAATTGGGTTTACATTTAGCAAGGGCATAACTGGTTAGCTCCCTACCCCCTCAGACCTCTCGACCCTTGCATTAGAAGTGAAGCCACCCACCTTTGCAGTAAATGTCGCCGTCCTTGTCAGCCAGGGTGGTGGACTCAAGGCCTTTACCACACTTGGCACACCGGAAGCAGGACTTATGCCAGGACTGTGTAGGGAAGGAAACAGTTAATGCCGCCTCCAGGGACGAGGGGGTCCCCTACCCCGCAGCCCCATTCCCCCTGACATAATGACAGTGGAAGGGTTCAAGACACTTCCGAAGTCTGCTCAGCTGGGCCTGCTGGGAGGACGTGGCCCATGGGGCCAGGCAGTGGCGGAAGCAGGCCACGGACCACACACGACCTCACGTCATCTGCAAGGAAGTGTTGCTGGGCGGTGAGTGGCACCAGGTGCACCACAAAGGGCAGGCGAGGGGGCGGGATCGCCACCAGCGTAGCTGTTTCCCCCACAGGCATGCACAAGCCTTCTCCAGACCCATTCTGCCTGGGGATCAGCATTGTGGCCGTCCTGGAACTGCCACCTACTAGCTGCACAGCCTCCGCCGTTTCCTCCTCCGGGAGACCCCCCTGCCCACCCTGCAGAATGGTCGTGAGAACTGCACATCCACACCCACGGATGGGGCCCAGCCAAGGTGCAGGCTATTGCAACTGGGATTCGTCTGAGCCAGCCTGGCCCCTGAAGTTCCAGCACTGGGCTCCTTGTTTGCCCGGAAGCCACTCCCTCTTGGAAAGGGGGCTGGCGGTATCTCCCTGGCTCGCTGGCTGAGAGGATTAGACAGCATGAGCGATGTAACGTGCCCGGCACAGGCCTGGCCCAGAGGAGGCCCGGAGCCCATCAGATCGAGTATTACTCTGGAAGGAGAAGGGGTCTGTGAAGTGCACTGAACTCAGCAGGGCAAGGCCTGAGGAGTGCGGCTTCTCCAGGGGCCACAGAAGGTCCTTTGTGGGTCTAAGAGGAACCTGCAAAGAGCCTGCCAGGGAAGAGGCAGGCCCGGGGTTTGCACACGGTGATGGGAGCCAGCACGGACACGAAGACCTCTCAGCACCCTGCTCCCATTAGCAACAGCTGAGCACGCTAGGCCCCTGATGTATAGACAGTTCTGCAAAACCAGGAAAGCCAGGGGCAGGCAGCACGCAGGCAGGACAAAACAAGGCCTTTTAAGGTCAAAGAGGCTCCCTCAGCACAGCCTGGGCTGGAGAACGAGAAAGGAAGCTGGATCCCCTCAGATTTCCTGGCTGCCTGACCTGTGCATGCTGGCTCCTCCTCCCAGGCCTCGGGGACAGCGGGGACAGCAGACAGCGGAGTCCAGAGAGCTGAGATGGGCAGGCCCTCCCAGCACCTCAGCAGCCACCCAGCCTTCGCCTCCTCCTCTGGGGAGCGGGGGCTGCTACACCAGCTCTCCAGGCCCGAGCGAGCGGGGCTGAAGCGCATGCGGACCGCCACCCACCCCTCACGTTGCCTTGCCCACCCTCCAAATAAGCTGGATCCCTTTGCTCACTCATTCAGCGCCCAAACGTACCCCTGTTCCTCGATTATTTCTTTGCTGGCCAAGGCCAAAGAGAGGTGGGAGCTTCTCCCGACTTTTTCTGTTTGAACACAAACATCTCTTATACCCACCCCTCAGAAGTTACAGCCTTAACTTAGACCCTGTCCAGGTAATGGACATAGTGATTCTTAGCTATTTTTTATAACTTTCTTTTTTTTTCTTTTAAAGATTTATTTATTTATTTATTTGAGAGAGAGAGCACATGAGAGGGGGGAGGGTCAGAAGGAGAAGCAGACTCCCTGCCCAGCAGGGAGCCCGATGTGGGACTCGATCCAGCGACTCCAGGATCATGACCTGAGCCGAAGGCAGTCGCTTTTTTTTTTTTTTTTAAAGATTTTATTTATTTATTTGAGAGAGAGAGAATGAGAGAAAGCACATGAGAGGGGGGAGGGTCAGAGGGAGAAGCAGACTCCCCGCTGAGCAGGGAGCCCGATGCGGGACTCGATCCCGGGACTCCAGGATCATGACCTGAGCCGAAGGCAGTCGCTTAACCAACTGAGCCACCCAGGCGCCCTTTTATAACTTTCAACTCTCCTAGTGAGACACTATGAGCAGAAAGAGATACCAACTGCATAATAAGATTAACATCTCCCGTTTTCATATCATTTAATCCATGGCAAGAATCTTCCTTTTGACCTCACAGCAATCCCCCAAAGTGCACAGTAACAGTAACAACAGCACCAACAGTAACAGCAATGGCCAACGTGTCCTGAGCACACCCTAGGCACTGCGCTGGGGGCTGTGCTGGGGGCCCCGCGTGCAGTATCTCCTTTATTCTTTTTTTTTTTTTTTTTTTTAAAGATTTTATTCATTTATTTGACAGAGAAAGACACAGTGAGAGAGGGAACAGAAGCAGGGGGAGTGGGAGAGGGAGAAGCAGGCTTCCCACTGAGCAGGGAGCCCGATGCGGGACTCGATCCCGGGACTCCAGGATCATGACCTGAGCCGAAGGCAGTCGCTTAACCAACTGAGCCACCCAGGCGCCCCTCTCCTTTATTCTGCAAAACAACTTTGTATGATGGGACTGTCATTTGCTTGGCTTTACAGATGCAGATGGAGGCTTAGAAAGGTTAAATGATTTGCCCAAAGTCACACAACTAGTAAGTGGCCAAAACTAAGGGTTGTCTAGGGTCCAAGGTTTTTTTGTTTTTTTTTTTACAGTCATTTTGAAGATTTTGTGTATTTGAGACAGAGTGTGAGCAGGGGAAGGGGCAGAAGGAGAGAGAGAGAGAATCCCAAGCAGACTGCCCACTGAGCGCAGGGACCGAAGCAGGCTGATCCCACGCTTCCTAAACCGTGACCTGAGCTGAAACCAAGAGTCGTATGCCTCACTGACTGAGCCACCCAGGCGCCTCTAGGGCCCAAGGTCTTAATCATGGTGCCAGGATTCATGACAGCTGTGGAAATGGGTTCAAAGAGGTTAAGTGGCCCAAAGCAGAGTTAACAGTGGTAAGAGCACGAACTTCCGAGTTAGAGGGACCTGGGCTTGACTCCTAGCCCAGCCACTGCCTCGCTGGAAGATCTGGGCAAATTAACTTAATGCCTCTGACACTCAGTTTCTTCATCTGTAAAATGGGGATAATAATACCTATCTCCAACCGTGACTGTCAAGGTTGGAGCCTGCTATGGTCTAGATGATGTGGCCTAAGTGTCAGTTGCCCATGCATTGGTCCTGGGCCCCTTCCTCAAGGTGGAAAAGACTTGAAAGCCAAGACCCAAAGCCAGAAGAGCTGCAGACAGGCTCTTGGCTCAGCTGTTCCAGACGCTTGCTATGTGACCTTGGCCGAGTCTCTCCTCCATCTGGGCCTCTCTGGCCAAAGACTGAGGATGCCTCTTCCATGATTCTCTGACCACTAGTCTGGTGGATTACCAGTTCTCCTGCCTCTTCTCCACTGCAGGCTCTCTGGGAGGTGGGATTGTTTCACTGGAATGGGGGCTCGCTACAGTGATTCTTACTGTGCTCTGGGGTTGGGAGTCCACAGGGGAAGGCATACATGGCAGTCAGAAATAGTTTGCAAGGGGCGCCTGGGTGGCTCAGTCGTTACGCGTCTGCCTTCGGCTCAGGTCATGAACCCAGAGTCCTGGGATCGAGCCCCGAATCGGGATCCCTGCTCTGCGGGAAGCCTGCTTCTCCCTCTCCCACTCCCCTGCTTGTGTTCCCTCTCTCGCTGTGTCTCTCTCATCAAATAAATAAAATCTTAAAAAAAAAAAGAAAGAAAGAAATAGTTTGCAAAAGCTTCCCAGGAGGCTCTGATCAGCCCTGAACCTTGAAAATCTCTGCCCTGGGGGTACATGGATGTACATGCTTTCCCAGAATCCAGGTCTTACAATATGGAATGTATGTGGATTTTCCAGTGGCTCTTAACATTTTGGGGATCACAAATCCTTTTGAAAATCTGATGAAAATTGTGGATCTTCTTCCCAGAGACACAAAATTTTGTATATGCTTTTAGGGGGCTTGTAGCTCCTTTGAAACCCATCAGATTGATCTTTACAACTCCCTATAAATTGCACATAAGCATTTAATAATCAGTTTCATCAATGGCGGGCCTGTTATCCTCATGAATAAGAATGCTGGCCAAGCCACCTCTCCCCGGAGCCTATGTGTGCCTTCCTCAGTCCTTGCAGACTGGAAGGCACAGGGACAAGCAACACAGGGACGAAGGGTTATTCCTTCCCTAGAAGGGAGGGAGTTAAAGCCCAGTGCTCACGCTCCCTTGATCAGATCCAGGGCCGACTTACAAAGTTCTAGAACCCACATTTCAAGAAGGCATCTCTCCAGCCCATCTTCCCAGAAGCCACCTTACCTTCCCGGCACCAATCACCTTCTCAGCCGCAAAGACTGCCTGGCCACATCGGGGGCAGCGCTCGGATCCGCCAATCTTCTGTGCAAACTTGGAGGCATTGGGGTTGGTGGTGGGCCTATGGCCAGGGGCCCTGCGTGGGCAAGGATGTGCAGTGAGACTAGTGGGGCTCGTCCCGAGTGGGCATGACCCTACCTTCATCTCACATCAGTAGGGGGCGGCTCTCCCAACCAGGACCTCCAGGGTGCTCTCCCATTTTACAGATGGACAAACCCAGGCTCAGCACAATGCTGTTTTCATCGAAGCATCCTACTGCCCTCCACCACTGAGTTAAAACACGGGCATCAGTGAGCAGCTCATTTGCTAAGAATTGCCCTCCTCTGTTCCCCATTCCTGCAGCCTGCCTATTAGATTCTTTCCAGGAGAAATCTGCTGACAAATCATTCCCTCTGGGGCAATGACCTTGGCTAAAATGTGCTCACTCATCTGTCATTTCTGTACATTCCCCCCAAGGTCAAGATGCTGGCCAGGCAGACTGCCAATAGCCACTGTTTCAACAGGTCAGAGGTCAGTGGGTGCCAGTGGAACCCTGCCGCATTTCCAAGGAAGGGAGATGGCTGCCCCTTAGTGCAGGGGTGAGAGATGGCGAGAGAAAGAGGCAGGTGGGGCAGTGTTGTTACTTCTGAGCCTGGCTCTGCGCCTGTGGGACCCCCAGCCAGGCCACTGAGCCTGGGCTGGGGTTTCTCATCTGAGAAAAGAGGACATTGGACCAAGTAATTCTTGGGGTCCCTCCACGCTCTAACCCCTCAGCAACTCTCGTTGTCCTGACCCCCAGTGGGTGGCTCTAGGACTTCCTTGGAGATCAATGGCTTTCTGAACCTTCCACGGCTGAACCAGAAGTGGTTGCAAATGTGTGCGACACGGGGGGGGGGGAACCTCAAGGAAGGGGGTGGCGAGACTCTCGTACTCACTCCTCGTGCTTGATGCCCAGAGACTCCCCCTTGTCGGTGCTCAGCGTGCCTGCACCCTGCCCATAGCCATAGCCTTTGGGCCCATACTTCTTGCCATAACAGGACTTGCAGTAGATCTCCTCGCCGTGAACGGCCACGGTGGTGCTGTCCAGATTCTTCTTGCAGACCACTGGGGAGGGAAGGGAGCATGGTGAGCTGGCAGTGGGGGGAACTGCTTGCTCACTGCAACACCCCACCCCACCCACCCCCGCCGCTAAAGCTCTCAGGGCGCTCTGAGAGAGAATATCCTGATCTTCCAGGAGCAGCGTGAAAATGGAAGTCAGATGGCCAGGGAGCTGGGAGCCAGGAGGGAGGGGATTTGCGTGGCCTCATTCTAGGAATGCCAGCCGGCTGAGCCACCTCTCGCAGGAGCCCACGGGTGCCTTCCTCTGTCCTCTCCACCCTCACCCCTCGCCAGGCTGTGGTGCACACCAGGGATCATCCGAGGCCACAGCCTAGGCTGACCCCAAGCCACAGGAAACCTGCTGAGGGCCTTCGCTCTGCTCTTGACAATGTATCCCAACAGGAAAGAAGAAAAAAGAAAGGAAGACAGTCCAGGTTTTCCTGCCTCCAGCAATGGACTCCTGAAGAAACAATCCATGCGTGCCTGGGGGGGCCGGGGCTGCAGGTGAAGTGATGCACCCAGAAGAAAAGAAAAGTTTCATATTTACTAAGTACCCAGCATGGTGGGCCTTGAAGTGAGATGCAGGATATGCTAATCACAACAAGATCTGGAGGTTCTGATCTCAGGAACCAGCTTGTCTTAGGAAGACCCGAGGTCAGACTCGGAAGAACTCCTGATTCCTGGGGTATCAGCAATTGGAAGGGGATGAGCTTCAGAAAGCCTGTGAGTCCCATATACCTTCCTGTGCCTGTCAGGGGGCCTGTGCCCAGCCATCCAGAGTAAAATGGTTGGAGCCTGGGGTCATGGCAGTCAGACTGCCCCAAATCAAATCTCAACTCTCTTTCTTTCCAGCTATGTGACTTCTGTGTGATGGGCAAGTTATTTTCCCTTTCTAGCCTCCATCTCTCCACTTGGTTCTTTTCGGGGGTTTTGTTTGTTTGTTTTAATTTTTTTTTTTAATTTTTTAAGTAATCTCTACACCCAACATGGAGCTTGAACTCACAATCCCAAGATCAAGAGTTGCATGCTCTACCAACTGAGCCAGCCGGGCACCCCTCGGTGTCTCCTTTTGTAAATGCAGACAATAATATCTACCCCAAAAGGTGGTGGGGAGAACTAAATAAGATCTTACATGTAAAGTACTTAGCACAATACCCTATACACAGTAGGTGCATAATAAATGTTGGCTACTCTTATTAGTATTATGTAAAGTTAGTATCACCAGGACACAAGGGAGGAGGAAGAACAGGCCCAGGCCTCAAAAGATCATATGCTCCCAACCCCCACCTACTTCTCTCAAGAGACTCATCCTCACTCTATCTGCTTATGTCTTATCCTACAGTCCCAATTTGGTTCTATGATACTCCTTCACTATGGAGATTGGGTGTGCCCAATTGGACCATAGACTCAAACATGTCCTTCTGAAGAGGGAGCCTTCCAGAAACCACTAGAGGAGCCACGCCTCTCACCTCCCCCTGAGACGGCTCTCAGCTCAGCTCCGTGCAACTTGCCATCCTCTTGCCTTTAATGGGTCTAGCCCTCCGCCAGCTCCTCTCTTACCCTGAGCCCCAGGTTGCAGACTTCAGACTAAATAAGGGCCCTCTAGTCCTGCCCTTGAGATCCTCACCCCATTCCAGTGTTCTGGGCAGCCCAAATATGGAACTTCCCACCACGTCCCCTGGGGCTTAGCTCCTGGCAAGGAGGGAGAGGGAACAACAGGCCAAGGGCTCCAACATTCCCTTCTAGGGCGGGAAGTCAGGAGTTGGCCTGGAATTGCTTCCTGTAAGACCCAAGTTGAACTGGGAATTCCAAAACCAGAGGGAAGGCAGAAAGTAGAGACAAGAACAGTTGGGGGAACAGAGGGCTCTTTTGAGTGATCTTGCCAGCAGGAGACCCAAGAGCTCAGCCCAGAGGAGACAGCAGGGCCTACCAGTCATTAACCTCCAGGCGGCTCCCTGCAGTGCCAACAGAGCCCTGACTTCCAGATCTGGTGTGAAGACCACCCTGTCGGTTTCTGCCCTGCTTTTTCTCCCCCTGGCCCTCCTGCCCACCATGGCCCATCTTCAACACCTTACCCAGGCCCTCCACCCTTCTACCTCCATCCAGGCAAGATAGTCTGGTCACCTGGAGGCTCTACCAAAGACTCAGCTGAGGGGAATTTTGAATGAAGGCCTAAATAAATTTCTACCAAATAATGTTGAGATAAAAAAAAAAAAAAGACTTAGGTATGGTTAGTTATGCATTTGTTGGAAAAATGTCCTTCCAGGTGCCACAGGCTCAGTGAGGCCTTCTGATGCTATTTTGAAGTATGGGCAAGAGGCAGTCCCAGGTGAGAGGTCAGAGCCCCCCTCACCCCACCCCAAAACAGAGAGGGATTCTCTCTGGAAGGAAAACCAAGGCCCACAAAGAAGTTCAAGCTCACAGAATTAGCCAGAAGCAGGACCAGGTCAGAACCAAGCCTGATTTCCAGACCTGGCTGTTTTCTGACTGCCAAAGGTCCCTTTCAGGCAGGCCAAGCCTGTGGGACCAAGGGGGTGAAAACTGACAACAAACTTCAGCCTGTGGGTGAGGAGATTCTGGTGTCAGAGGGCATGCAGGGCTTCTCTGAGCTTCCCCTGTGCACTGGGGTCCTGGAAAACAGTGCAATTTCATCAGTCAACCACCATTAGGCCAGACCAGGTCTACTTTTCCACAGGGCTGGCTGTTCAACCCTGACTTGCCCAGGAGGGAGTTGGCTACAGCTCAGAGAAGGGCATGCAGCCTCAGGGTAGGCCCCCAACTGCAGAGCTGAGCTCTTCTGCCTGTTAGCAGGAGGTGGCCACCCCTACTGAGGCCACCGGAGTAGACTTCAGGCCCTCTCTGTTCCTGCTTCCAGGTCAAAGGCCAAGCCCAGGGCAGAGGCCATTCTCCCTGACTCTGTTACATCATCTTGTCTTCCACCTGTCTGTCCCGGGCCCTCAGGAAAGGGAATGTAGGTGCCACACTGACTAGAAGCCAGAGCCAAGGACCCGAATGGTCAGAGGTCCAGACAGCAAGGGGACTATGGCCCTAATCCCACCCAGGTCCATACTCTGTGAGCCTTAGGAAGGAAAGCGCCTTCAGAAGAAACTTAGGAAGGAACATCCTTTGATTCTCGGGGTCATTCTGAATTCTTGAATTCAAGCTGGACACTTAATCACCCACTTCTCTGAAAGAGAGAAGCGATGCTCCTTCCATTGATAAACAAATCATCAAGAACCTGCTGGGTGCTCAGTGCTGTTCTGGTACCAGGAATCAGCAAGCTGTGGGGATACCTGGTTGCCGGGACCTCTCTAAGCTCGGATACCCAGGAGCTGTGCTGGCCCGGAGACCCCAGCGCGACCCGAGACTGCTCCCTATGCCTGTTACTTTCACAACACCCCCTCCCAGCCCTGCTCCCCAGACTGACTTTCCACAGCTGTTTCTAATCCTCCACACCCCTTCACGCCCTGACCCAGGCCTGCTCCCTTCTTCCTATGCCACCCCCTGAATTCCTGCCTTCCCCCCACCGCCACCAATAGCTACTCCTCCACGAGCAGGACCGAGGCCTCTCAGCTGCCTCTGTAGTGATTAAGCAACATGTGAGAGCAAAGACCAAAGCCCTATAGACCCCACAGCCCAGACCCTCTTCCTGCCAATGCTGAGCCCTCTGAAAAAATAAACGGCTTGAAAATTCCTAAGTGCAGTGAACTGCTGATAACAAGAAGCTGCTGTTTGCGGTCTCCTCTGTGGGCTATGCGCCAACAAGGCCCCACTGGGGCTCATTTACTCCTGTTCATCAGATGCAGCCTTTGGGTGGCCACTCCGGCTGGCTGCACAGGGTGTGGGGGGCCCCTCCTGTCCTGTGCTGGGTGCCTCCCAGCTGGGTGGCCCGGAAGAGATCTGGTGAACATCCAGTGACCAGGTGGCCCTCGGTCCATCTGGTTCCTACTCTGGATCACAAATCACCTAGGAACAAAGCGGCCATGGACACTCCCAACTTTGCTTCATGTGATACGGGATGGATGGGACCCCCTTCCCTGGATCTCTCAGACGGGCTATGAGGTCTCCTTTATGTCACCACACCATGTTGTCTGCAGCTCCCTCAGCAGCACGCGTGCACGTGTGTGTGTGCGTGTGTGTGTATGTGTGTGTGTGTCCAGGGCAGTGTCTGTCATTTATCAAACATTTGCAGTTGCGTTAAGTACTTTGTTTTCCAAGCTTCTTTCTGTTTGTTCTCACAACAACCCCATGAGGTAAGTATTATTAGCTCCCCTGTAATCGTGAGAAGACTCAACCAGGGAGAAACCGAGTAACTTGCCCATCAGCACACAGATAACCAAAACTGAACTCAGATTCAAACCCTGCCCGACTGGCTCCAGAAACCCAGGACTCAACTAAGACATTCCCCTGCCTCCGACTCTGTCTGCCCTCATGGAAAACTCCTCTTCCTCTGACCAGGACCCTCTGTTCTGATCACAGTGAACCAAATCATTTAGAAATGGGGGGCAGGGCGCCTCCTCGAGGCCCCACTTCCTGGGTGCTCTGACAACACCGTTGGGGTCAAGGACTCCTGGAGCCACTTGACGGCTCCCAGCTGCTTGCTGTCTGTTGCCCGGTTTCCTGCTCACCCGGGCTTGTGATTCGAGCCAGCTCCAGGTTACTGGGGGTGGATGTCAAAGATCTGTTTGCTCATCGTCCTCTTATCCCAGGCTGTTGGGAGGTGGGGGAAGTGGGAAATGGGAGGTGAGGGAAGTGACCAGGCTGGCCCAGAGGGGCTGAAGAAGGGAGGACCCAGCTCTTGCTCCAGGCTCAGTGTCCCCATAAAGTTGCAACCTCTCTCACCTTTTAAGAAGGGATCATTTGGGTCCAAATTTGGGTAAAACTTTGGGCCCAAAGTGGTTTCCTCTTAAATGATGGCATTGTGGCAGGGAGAGAAAGAGAAAGCAGAGTGGAAAGTTTCCCTAAGCAAGTCTGGAAGCTTGGCACCCCGCCCCAGAGCGGCTGCCACCCCCACCAGCTCTGGCCAGTTCTTCCCCTTAGAAAGCAGCTTCTGAGCGGAACAAAGAGGCCTGTAAGTGCTTCCCTCCCCAGCTGTGCTCCAGCCAAATGTCAGGCTGTTTACATCCCATGGGGCCCGTCCCCTGCGGTGTTGACAGGCCCAGCCTGTGGGGGCAGGCCCCGTCCCAGTCCCCACGGCAACAGCAGCAGGGCCCGGGGCGCATACTCACTGCACAGGAAGCAGGATTTATGGAAGCTACTGCCTTCGCACTGAACCTCTTCCGCGAAGTAAACCGTCTTCTGGCACACCCCACATTTCTTGCCTCCTCCCCAGTTCGGCATCCTGAAACTGGACCCAGACAGGGGAATTAGTTTTACGGGGAGCTGGAGACCCAGACTGCCCGTGACGGGAGAACCACAGGCAGACCGAGGATGGCAAGAGGGCAGGCAGGGCACCTGTGGGGGCCCCCAGTCCTGGCTGGGCACTTCCCCCTGATGGTTCTCCACGTCCTTCTCACACTGCCACTCGGGGGCTTCCTGCCCCAGTGCCAGCAACAGACAGTCACTGAGCCACTGCTGTATTTTCAGCCTGGGGCCAGGCACTCTAATATAAGTAAGCATAAGATACCGGCTCTCCAAAGGAGGCTGTGGAAGCAAGACATTGAACCCTCTGCTACGTGCATCAACAGGGATGAATCTCACCAAGGTCTGTTTGAGCCAAAAGAGCAGATACACTAGAATTCACAAAACACAGATCATCTGTGGGAGGTTCACAGACAAAATTCATATTGTCAAGGGATGAACCCACGGGTGGAAAAGTTATAAAGAAAAAGCAAGGGAAGATGATCACAAGCTATTATCTTAGACTTGTTACCTCTAAGACAGGGAAAGGCCCAGAGCTGTGTGGGGGTCTCCAGGGGGCTGCTAAGGCACTGACAATATTTTTTCTTAACCTGGGTGGTTGTCCCATGGGGGCTCACTTTACAATTATTCTTTGAACTATATATGAAGGTATTATATGCTCCTTTATATGTAAGATACAGCTCACCAAAAAAAAACGCAGAAATTTTTTTAAGTGAGGGGTGGGGTGGGGGGGAAGGGGTAGGCACACAGGGCACAGTTCTCCAGCCTTAGAGCCCATTAGAATCGGGAGTGCACGGGGCACCTGCGTGGCTCAGTCTGTGAAGCATCTGCCTTTGGCTCAGGTCATGATCTCCAGGTCCTGGGATGGAGCCTGGCATCAGGCTTCCTGCTCAGTAGGGAGTCTGCTTCTCTCTCTCTCTGCCTCTGCCCCTCCCCACTGCTCATTCTCTCTCTCTCAAATAGATAGATAAAATCTTTTAAAAAAATTTGGGAGTGCAGGGGGGCTTCTGCAAAATCACATTGACCAGCGTCACCCCAGACCCCAGGGGAAGTACAGGAATCTAGATATTTTTTAAAGATTTTATTTATCGATTTGACAGAAAGAGCTCAAGCAGGGCGAGCAGTGGGCAGGGGTAGAAGAAGAAGGAGACTCTCTGCTGAGCAGGGAGCCTGATGTGGGGCTCGGTCCCACTCGGGGTTGCATCCCAGGACCCTGGGATCGTGACCTGAGCTGAAGGCAGACGCTTAACCGACTGAGCCACCCAGGCATCCCAGGAATCTGGATTTTTTTTTTTTTTTTAAGATTTTATTTATTTATTTGACACACAGAGAGAAAGCACAAGTAGGCAGAGAGGCAGGCAGAGAGAGAGGCAGAAGCAGGCTCTCCACTGAGCAGGGAGCCCGATGCGGGACTCGATCCCGGGACTCCAGGATCATGACCTGAGCCGAAGGCAGTCGCTTAACCAACTGAGCCACCCAGGCGCCCAGGAATCTGGATTTTTAATAAGCACCCCAGGTGAGTCCAAAGCGGGCAGCCTGAGACCAACTTTGAGATGCTCTAGGTATTGGTTCTGAGTTGAGGTCTTGATACCAGACAGGTTGGGTCCAGTTCTGAACCCCACTCACTGGCTCTGTGTGCCTTGGGCAAGGTAGTTGTCTTTCTAAACCTAGATTTCTGCATCTGTAAAATGAGGATAAAAACCAAAGCTATTTCAAAGATTTTTTTCTGGGGATAAAATGAGGTCTGGCATGTCAAAGGCATGGTACGGTGCCTGGCCTATAGTTAGCATTCACTAATTATTGTTATTTTTTTTTAAAGATTTTATTTATTTATTTGAGAGAGAGAGAATGAGAGACAGAGAGCATGAGAGGGAGGAGGGTCAGAGGGAGAAGCAGACTCCCCGCCGAGCAGGGAGCCCGATGCGGGACTCGATCCCGGGACTCCAGGATCATGACCTGACTAATTATTATTAACGCAGGCGTCCAAGACTGCGGGAGAGGCCGTGCTCCAGGTTGGTACTGATGCACCAGAGAGCAGCACAGCAGGTACATGCCATGGAAACTTGGAGAACAGACACCCCCTCAGGCTGATGGGGTCAGCGTCTCTCCTCCCATTTCACTCCTCCATTCAACAGACATGTGACTGAAGGAGGAAGATGACAGAAGTTCACGGAGGGCGGGGTCCTGTGCAAGGTACAGGCGACCGTGGGTACAAGACGGGGGATGAGGTAGCTCAGGATGTGGTGAGTATAGGATGATGCGGGCTGCTGGAAATGAAGGGGGACCTTGCCAGAGGGGTCTGTTGCCTCAGGACGCAAAGGAGCCTAAGGAGAAAACTCACCAGTTTTCTGTATCAGGAAATGTTGAAAACAGGGATGTGTTATCCAGAGCTCACCTTCCTGGTGGCTGCAGCTAGAATCAATGTCAAGGACAGAGGGAGACATGGTTTCCACTGCTGGAGAGCTTCCCATCTGACTGTGGACACAGGCCTGAGCTCAAGAAGAAAGTCTAGGTCATGTTCACAATGGAGTCCCCACACCCTGCTCAGCACCTGGCATACAGGTGTTCCTACAGGCCATCAGGAAGTAGGTGAGGAATGAACGAAGGATGCTCTCATACTGAAAACCACAGCCAGGGCCAAGTTCTGTGTCGGGGCATCTCAGCAGAGCCTAGGACCCAGCAGAGGTGTACAGTCAGTGAGTGCGGGCTGACAAGCAGGGTTTCGCGTGGGAAAGTGGTGTGGGTGGTGCTGCTCTTCACGGGCACTGGGGCTCGAATATCACAACGATCACGGGGATTTTCAGCAAGGTTTTGTCAAGCACATTTTCACTCCCTCTGCTTTGCTCCCATATCCGAAAAGCTGGGGTTCCCTTGGGTCCCACCTTGGCCCCCTTCTGTCAAGAACTTCCATACCCCTCTGGCCTTGGCCTCTCCCCTGAGCCCAGGCTCACACATCTAATTTCAGTGAGCATCTCCACCTGGATGGTCCACAAGTTCCTCAGATTCAACGTGACGGACCTGAACTCATTGCCTTTTCTCAAACTTATTCTTTTTCTCGACTTTTCCATTTTTGCTCATGGTACCACAACCATTCTCTCCATCACAAAGGAATTATCCCACTCCTGAGATTGTCGAGGGGCTCTTCCCCCTCCCGTAGCTGCACCCTTCTGTGTGCTCCCTTTTACCCACCCACCCCCGAAACCAGTGCTGAGCCCTTTAGACTCTCTCCTCTCCATTCTTCTTCGCACCACCCTACCCCAGCCTCCCCACCTCTCCCTCATGCAGCCCATCCCTTGCCGGCCCCCTGGAAAAGGACACCACGCCATATACACCTGTTTCTTGGCAACTACCCGATTATCAGCCATGGCACATGGCCTGTACCTAACCTAAGCAGCCAAGGTTATTGGCTCAAAGATGGGCCAGCTAAATATTTCAGACCAATAAGATAGGAGAAGGCAGTTCTAGGCTCTCTGGAAGAAAAAGCATCCCGATCTTTTGAGAGAACTTCCTGGAAACAAGTCCCTCTTCCCCCAGTGAGGAGAGGGCTCTGAGATTGTTGTCCCGAGGGAGACAGGCAGTTCCGGGATGAAGCTGACAGCAGGGAAGACAGAGCTGAGAGACAAAAGAAACTAAGTCTGCAATGCATCATCACGGCACCAAATTCAGCCAAACCTAAAGGTCAATCTATCTCTGAATTTTCCAGTTAAACAAACCAACAAATTCCCTCTACGGGTTTAAGCCCATTACTTTACAATTGAATGCATCCCCAGAGAGACAGCAATTATGGTCATGCTGCTTTTGGAATCTCCTTCCTCTTCCATCCCCACTAGCAGCTGCTAGATCTTTTTTGTGGAGGGCACCCCTGCTCAAAAACCATCAGTGACTCCCGGCTACCTGAGAGTAACCACACCCCTCACCTTGAGATTCTCCCCTGCACAGTTTCCTTTCCCCGCTGTCTCCTGTTACCCTGCCTCACCCATAAGCGGGGCTGGTGACTGAATCGCTGGGTTCGCTCCCAGGATGCCCAGAGCGGCGTTGGCATGCCGGGAGTGCTCAGTCAGTGCCTGTGCTCAGAGCTGGGAGAGGCTGCGAGGAGGCGGACGGCTGGGGCTGGGGCCCATCATCCTCTCCCACATGGGTCCAGACGGGCCACGGACCACTGTGCAAGGCCAGTTCTCCCCTCCGCAGGTTCTGCAACGACCACAGCTCCTCAGGCTTAGGCACATCACTGATGCCCCCCGCAGGTAGGGTTTCTCTAAGGGCACGTGACTTCTCTCTGCCCTCCTCAGATAACCCCCACAGGGCCTGAACTCCCAGATCCCCGATCCCACCATTCATTCCCTCACTCCACTCTGCCCCGAAGATTCCAGGGGCCAGCTGCCTGGTCGAACAAGAGCTCAGGGCTGCAAAACCCTACGCTGTGCGGGGCAGTTCGGTGAGAATAGTGATGTATATTGCTGTCGGCCTCAGTGTCACCCCTTCTCCCCCTTCGTGTAGCAGAACCCCAGCCACCCTCCACTGGGTGACTCAGGGGATGCGCTCCCATGCCCAGCTCTAGGGGCCCACCATGGCCATCCCGTTCCCCTGTGGGGGCGGCTTGAAGGACAGGCAGTGATGTGTGAGGGCAGCTCTGTTTGGGAAGCTTCTGGAAAAATAGGCGTGTTCATCTGGAGCCACTCAGGTTCTCTTCTGCCTCTGAGGAGGTGACCAGGCATCACGACCGGGACTCCTGCAGCCAGGGCACCCCAACTGACAGACTACCATCGACTGCATGTCTGCTTTGCACCAGGTTACGGACATCATCCCTTTCTTCCCACCTGGACATGGGGAATATATGCCCACCCTACAGATAAGGAAAACAAGGCTCAGAGAAGAACAGAACTGGATTCCGATTCGGGTTTAGCCACTTCTGGGCCCTCTGTCACCCCAACTGTCAGTCTGTCGCCCCATCCTATATAAGAGTGCCTACACACGGTAGGCAGAGAA